AAAATGACGGCCCTGAGTTATAATCAGATTAATAAACTTATTTTTTCAACACTTTATGTAAGAATAGCAGTAATGCTTCTTATTTTATATAAGCAGGTCACGACACCATTGGTTTTTTTGTTTTTTATGGGTATTTTCTGTGATGGTTGGACGACAAGGGAAGTTAGATTATGGATTAGCTTACTATTGAATCGTTTATAGTGAAGCTTGACTAATTCAGTGGAGATGGATAAATTAAGGTCAGAGTGAAGGGTTATTATTGGAAACACAGAACGGATCTTTAGAGATGGCGCGAAAAAATATAAGATGTAACCTGAAAAAATGTATGTTTTGTAAGGACCGTGGTATAGATTTCAGTACCTGGTTGAGCAAGCGTAACACGCTTAGCACTTTTTGGGATTTACACATTACCACTAGGTACTTTTTGAAATTTCCACTTTACCACCCGTCACTTTGGGGTTTTATGCACTTTAACACCCGGTGGACGGAAAAAGCTTGCTTATCAACGTTTTAAGGGTTATGGAAAACTTAAATTTAGATGCTGGCGTTATAGACATATTTTACTAACAATATAATATTGTAGGAACTTTAATGTTTCTGAACTTCGATTTTAATACGTGCCAATTGATCAAAAAATACTTGCTCGCAAACGAAAATTAATCGAAAAACTAACATCTACGACGATACACGTTCATTAGCTCCACCGATTTTTATGCAATAATACACAGTTACAACCTAACCTAACCTATGGTATTTAGTATATATTTATCTACAATAAATTAAATTGACATTGGAGCTAATTTATGAAATTATTAATACAAATACAATATTTAAATCTCAAACAGAAAAAAATATTAATAATCAAAACAAAATATACGTACCTAAAATGACTAGAAAAATATATATAATAATAATAAATTAGTTACAATAGAAAACTGTATTCAACAATTTCATTGTTGGACTTTCATTTTAAAATTAATTAATAAAAACAACCATTTCTTTCTAATATTAATGACGATATTGCAACATTTACTAATACTTTAATTATCACCACTCACTCATCAATAGGTAAAAAACAGATGTGTTACCTTGGCACCCCAAGGTCAAAATTTTGACTTGAAAACTGTTTGGTATTATGTAATTTATTATATAATATTTTGTAACCACATCAGTACTCCGGCAAACGGCGTTACAAGTTCTGGGTGCCAGTGTAACGTTACCCCAGCACCCCAAACATTAAATAATTAAAATTTCGACTTGAAAACTGTTTGGTAATATGTTATTTATTATGTAACATTTTGTAACCGCAAAAAAAATTTTGTAACCACATCGGAGCCACGGAAAACGGCATTACAAATTCCAATAAACCACAAAAAAATGTTTAACGTCACTGGTACCTTAAAAAATTGTGATTTAATTAATTAAAATATTTAAGTATACAAAATATCTTTAAACCCTCAGGGGGGTACTATTTAGTTAGTGCTACGGGCTTAGCGGACCCGGGGCCCCGAGCTACGGGCTGACTTTAATTAGTTGGTCCAAACTGGTATGATTGATGAAATTACAAGATATAAAATCCCCATAGTAGCCATATAGGAGGTTCGATGGCTCAATATTGGTAGTATACAAAGTGGCAACTCAATAATTTTCTACAGCGGTCTACAAACAGGTAGACATGAGAAGGGAGTCGGTTTTGTGATTGACAAAGCCATGATGAATCAAGTTAAAAAATTTGTGCCAGTGAATGAACGTATTTGCTACATACGAATCGCGCAACAGAAACTAGATCTAATAATATTGAACTGCATAGCACCGACTGAAAATGCAGACGATGAGGAAAAAAATAGTTTCTATAATACGTTAGAAGCAACTTTTGACGTTTTGCCTAAAAACTTTATAAGGCTAATTGTCGGAGATTTAAATGCTCAAGTTGGTAGAGAAACGTCCTTTGGACAAACAATTGGAAAAGAAAGCTGGCATCTTACGACAAATAACAATGGTCAAAAAATAATTGACTTTTGCTCTTCAAAAGACCTCATAATTAGCAGCACCTATTTCCCAAGAAAAAACATTTATAAACATACATGGTCTGCCCCAGATGGAAAAACGAAAAGTCAAATTGACCATATCATAATAGACAAGAGGCACAAAACATCAATTCGTAAAGTTAGAAGTTACAGAGGAGCTGATGGAGATACTGACCATTATTTAGTTGTTGCAACGTTTGTATTAAAGCAGTCAGTAAAATGGAGGAGTAAGAAACAAACAGGAAAGAATAATAAACTTTATATAGAAAAAGTTAGGAATCCGAAGGAGATAGACACATACCAAAGAGAAATTTCGGAAAATCTCAGGAAATATAATCTTGCAGAACATGAATCGGATAAAGTTACACTGTGGTCAAAGACAAAAGAATCTATAACAAAAGCCGCTGAAAGACTACGAGGTAAGCGCACTAAACAAAACGAAAATCATTGGTTTAATCTGGAATGCCAAGCTGCTATTAACAAGCGAATTTTAGCTAGAATAAATATGATGCTAAATCCAACAGAAGAGAACATAAGTGAATACTCTAAACTCAGAACCCCAGCAAACAAGGTGATTAGACAACAGAAACGCGCAGTGGAAAAAAGAGCTATAGAAGATATCGAATATTATAAGAAAGAACCTAGATTGTTTTTTAAGAAGTGCAGATCGATTAAAGAGGGTTTCAAGGCACGTACTAATTCCATCACAGACACGAATGGTCATATAATATTGGAACCTTGCGAGATCGTAAACAAATTTCAAGAATATTTTGAAGAACTGTTAAATAACAAAAATTCCCGCACTGGAAATAACAACAATGGAAAGTACGAAGAAATACTATATCACACAGCAGAACCTGAACTGCCAGCACCAAATATCGAGGAAATTGAAATTATTATTAAATCACTAAAGAATAATAAATATCCAGGGGAAGATAATATAAATCCTGAACTACTAAAAATTGCAGGAAAAGAAATTTTAATTAACATACACCACATTATAGCAAATATATGGAACAGCGAACAAGTAGAACAGGAGTGGTCGTCATCAGTTATCTGTCCTATTTTCAAGAAAGGGGATCCAACTAAAGTTAGTAATTATCGAGGTATATCGCTTTTAGACACAGCGTACAAGGTGCTCTCAATAGCTATCTTACGAAGAATAGAAGCAATAGCAATAGACATTGTAGGAAAATATCAGTGTGGTTTCTCAAAAGGAAGATCTACCAGTGACCACATCTTCACGCTCAGACAAACAATGGAAAAGTATTATGAGTACGACAAAGACCTACACATGATATTTATAGATTTTAGACAAGCGTACGATAGCATCGACAGAGAACAGCTATGAACAGTACTTCAAAATTTTGGTTTGCCCAGGAAACGGTAAACTTGGTTAAAGGTTGCAATTCCAATACTACATGCAAAGTGCATTTCATGGGAATGGAGTCAGGGAATTTTGAAGTCAAGTCAGGCCTGAGACAAGGGGATGCGCTATCCCCCATTCTTTTTAATATCGCTTTGGAAAAAGTAGTCAGAGATATGCATGAAACGCGAGAAATGGATCTAACTGGTAGTGGCATATTGTTTGCATATGCTGACGACATTGTCATTCTTGGAGACTCTCAAACCGAAATAGAAGAAAGTACAAATTAATTAATTAATTCTAGTAAAGGGCCTCAATATAAACGAGAATAAGACAAAGTATATGATCATGAGTAGGCGACCAAGACTATTACAGAATCTCATCGTAAATGGATATACATTCGAACAAGTAGAAGATTTTAWATATTTGGGAGTCAATTTGAATAATAGGAATGATATGCATAACGAAATTAGATTGAGACTAAATACGGCAAATCGTGGCTATTATGCTATGAGTAAATTATTCAGATCTAAGCTTCTTTCCAGAGAAACTAAGAAAAAGCTTTATATTTTTTCTTCTTACGGCCCATAGTAATGTATGGGTGCGAAACGTGGTCCACCACTAAAGGGGACGAGACAAAGCTTTTAATATTTGAAAGAAAGATCCTCAGAAGAATATATGGTCCCATGTATAATACGGAAACAGGGGAGTACGAAAGGAGAACAAATGCAAATATTGAAAGAATCTTTAATGGACCAAATATCCAAAAATATCTTGTCTCAAAGAGACTGGAATGGGCTGGTCACATATGGCGAGATAAGGACAGCCAAATGAGACAAGTTGTGATATCTAAACCAAATAAAACACGCCCCAGAGGAAGACCACGTCAGCGTTGGATGGACCGGGTAAAGAAAGACTTAATGCAAGTAGATGAAACTGAAATAATTGAGGATGCAGACACCAGAGACCGATGGAGAGGCATAGTAGAAGCAGCGAAGGGCCTAAATGGCCTGTAGAACCTAAAAAAAAAATACAAAATATCTAGCATGGCTTTATCGTTTATATTATTTATTATTATTATTTTTTTAATACGTTCCACATTAAACGTGAAATAAACATGAAGTGTAATGTAAGTCTTATAAACAAATATCAACTGTCAACTGGCTTACTTATGAATCAAAAATAAATTTTAACGAAGCACTGTGAAAGCTCCATGCACTGTATCGATGCACAGTGTGTACGTTTATGAAGATAATAAAAAAATTTATCGTTTAAAAATAATAAGTATACAGTAGGTATACACTACAAACCTTAAGAATTACAATATGCATTTATTTATGCCTTAAAGGATTACAAAATATGCTTTTAAAATATGCATTTAAAAAAGCATATTTGTAATAAATAAGACTATTTGAAGATATGATACAGAAATAAATGAATTTGATTATATGTATAAATTAATTTGATTAATTATCTAAGATAATTATTTTATTTATTCAGGTTTGTGTTCATCATACATTGAGTTTTATTATAAAATAAAAATGGTTACATTTTTTTAATAATCAACTTAAATTGAATATATTTATATATTTTTAGTAATATAGTACTAATTACCTTGAGCATTACACTGAACTTTTTGATATTATCTCAAGTTGGAAATTAAAAACTTACTCATTCATATAAATAATTTACCCAGCTAATTAATTAAAAATAATTTACCTTATTAAAGTTCTAAGTGTCTATAATAAAAAATGTATATCAACCAGAATATAAAAATATTTATTTTTTTTCGATTTTTATCGATATTAATCGATTTCAAGCCCTGCTATTATCGATATTTGTATTATTATTTATATTATATTTTTATTTTTATTTTTATCTGCTAGAGGGCGCCACCAGTGTAACTCAATTTTTGTCTCTAAATCTCTAGCTCACAGGAGTTAGGTCCATAATTTATGCTATAAATGCTCCCCGACATTCTCTATCATTTAAAAAAAATTTGAGCCAAATCCGCCCAGCCGTTCTCAACTGATGAAATTCCGAATTTTTTGTCTCCATTTTTATATATATATATATAGATAAATATATTAGGTATTGCAATTTATAACATAAAAAAACGCAATTAATAAAAAAATTGTATAAAATGATAGGTAAAATTTATAAAAATAATATGAATAGGTAGATATAATAAAATAATGAAAACAATAATTATAAATAATTACACTTACACACATCTAAAATTAAGCACTCTGTTAAAATATTCTCTTTGTRCCAGTTGMGCTATTATTTTTATACTTTGATTATTATTTACCTATTTACCTCCTCCATTTTACGGGTTGGTATTATAAACCTGAATTTAAAATATGTCAGAGTATCCGCCACCGGTATATTAGTTTGTGAGCAAATGATAAATGGTACATTTGGTTGAGGGTATAATAAATGGTATATTTTAAAATGCAAAAAACAGCCGTTGATGGAAACTAGTCAACAAGCGGCCTGTATGCCTATATAATATATTTACAATGTATTTTATGATAATATTGTAATTAAAGTAATTTAKTATAGTATTATAGGTAGATTGCAATCATTTTTCCCTAAAAACTTGCATTAAAATTTAAAATATAATACAATTATAAAATATGAAAATACATGTATGCAAAATGTTTCAAGTATCACCACACAAATAGTATTGTGAAAAAAAATTGTACCTATGCAGCATTTGCAGTCTAAGTATTTACATATTTTTAAATTTCAACAATAACAACTTATGGAGGAACTTGTATAAAATTGTCAAGCTTTTTAACCTACCAACATTTTGAGCTGTTCTCTTATACATCTAATAAAGTAATGCGCTGCTTACGAATTGCGTCCCGTATAAAAAGTTATAAAAAGGTATAATACTAATTGCGTCCCGGGTTTTTCTTGAGACATAATACCAAACAGTTTTCAAGTCGAAACTTTGACCTTGGGGTGCCAGGGTAACACACCTGTAAAAAACAACACAATGGAAAATGATCACCCGTTCTTTGGTTGAACGCAGAATGAGACAATATAGCGAAAAAAAATATGAAGACATTTAGAAAATTTAAAAAATAATAATTACATATGCGATCTATTAAGATTCAAAAAAATCGGAGCCAAACCTAAAAATATACTTAATACCAGCAAAACAAATTCATGGTGTAATTTAACTACATCTAATTCATCTCAGTTCAGCTTCAATGAGTCATGGACCAATTAATCGTTAACTTAACCATTATAAGTTAGAAATAATATTTAGTTGACTGTATATTAATATTCGATAACCTTTTACGATTCACAACTACAAGTATATGATTTCATTTTGGTAAAATTATTTATCTTAGTTATCCATTACTCTTAACTTAGATTAAACTTTCACAAGATTTTATTACCATTTTGTAACGAAATGTAACTACGTTTCACAATAATTAATATGTAGCTTGTAACTTTTAACATTATAGTTACTACAATAATATCACAATAGTATTGACTATAGACTATATATTGACCTACATATTATAAATATATAATAATAAAGTAATATACCTTCTTAGAAATACTACATACGAATATTTCAGATAGGTACTAATTTCTATTGTATTGATATATATTTTTGTCATGTTGGTTTTTATTTATATTAATGAGATTATTCTGATATAAATTATTTAATCTCCACTGCTAGAAATAATTTTTTAGTACCTATTGACAAAAAGCTAGAAAAGAAATGGGTGAGCTCATACTTATTACTACATTTTTMGGATTATCTGCAGTATAAAATTAAGGAAATTATGWTAAGATTATTTGGATAACGTTCAACATTTAGTGTTAAAATCCAACTGTTATATGAATTCATATATTATGTAGATATAATTATATTTATTAGTCAGTTTCAAATACATACTATTGCATTCATTTATATTGTAATCTCTATTATTATCTGAAATTTTATTATTTTAGTATTATACTATTATATAATACATATTAAACACTAATATAATATCTGCTATATTTATAGCATTATTTTTTCAATAAACTACTAACTAGTAAAAGATACGTACAATGAAATATATTGCTTTTTTTTATAAGTTGTTACAGTGATGCGGTAGGAATTTCGTTTGAATAGGGATAGTATTATTTGGTTAAGTGGGATTCATAACATAAGGTTAGGTTTWATTAGTATACATATTCAATATTTCGTAAATACATAACAAGATAACTATTATAACATAGACATGTTTTGGTCACGAAAGAACTCGCAACTAAATAAATACTAAATGTAGTTAGTAAAATGTATATATATTCTAATGATAAATATATTTCCAGATCTTTAGTAAAATTGAATGACCAAAATAATTTATCTTTAAAATCAATTAAACAATAGACAATGATTATTAATATCTTACAATTTTTTTTTTAAATAATGTAATATAAATTAAATCACTTATTAGTCTGTTA